TCTCTGGGGAAACAGAAGTTCATTCATGTGAACATCATTCTAATATCTGCAGAGATTAGTTACCACATAATACGCAGAAATGTGGGTTGTTTGCGTTTCAAACATTTGCCAAAGTCACCTTCCCTCTGCCCTTTTCACACTGCGAACGAGATGGCGAATTGAGGTAGTTCATAACCCCCTTTGAAAAGACATAAAGACAAAGTTTGTGCGTTAAATCTGAGGAGGAATTTTAGCAAATTGTTTCTAACATATTTTCCATTTGATGGGGATTATTGAATAAAGAAATGCCAAATAGAATCAGTGAGGAACGTGGAAAATGAATTATGTACAATGAGTTATTTGGAGCGGAAATTTGAAGTGAAAATTCTATCCGCTGTATTTATTGAGATTTTCCTATTTTGCTCAGCTGTCATCAAATTAGATTTAAATTTGTATGGAAATGTAATTTAATGGAATGCGCCAGAAATCCATATATACCCATGGCATATCAACTTATTGTATATGGCAAAGGGAGAAACGAGTGTACACATAGGAGCTTCCTTCCACATAAAATATGTATCTCCAATTCTCATTTTCTCCACCCTCTTCGTTGCTCGTGCGCCGCCATTCCATCCAGAAACTAATTCTCGTATTCACGAGGAGATATTTATCATTAATTCGCAGTGATATTAAGAGGATGCTCTCCTATCTATTGACAAATTCCCTTCAAGTGTATACAAGCATAAATATGCTCCAGTATGACAATTTATTTTTAGTCCCCGGCATGTAAATGTGCCCCTGTGCAAACAGGATGAGAATCATCTCAAATTGATCCTTCCATGTCTGCCGGATTCTCTCGCAATCCCCGAGAATTCTGTCCGTCTCTCTATGAATTCATATCTCGGATTAATATTCCATTTGAGGATATTTTCATAATGATCCAGAACTCCTCGCATCGGGCGAAGGTTATATGCAAATCATTTTCAAATACGCCTCAATTCAATAGTTATAGATAGAAACTAGAGACGAGGAAGCATAAATTGCACTGCGAGCACATTTTATTGAAGAATAACATTAAGTTTGCGAAGTGATTCACTCCTCTTTTAACCAGTGCTCAAGTGAACCGAGATGGGGAGCTTCTCTCACACCTGTGGATTGCGCCAGAAAGGAGGATGTAATTTATTTTGTGGATAGACGACCTACGGATTTATTTAATATGTGTATTGTTCACAACAGTCGATTGGGTGGCAAATGATGCGAGACCACCCAAAACGACTTCACCAGTGCTGAGAGGACAAGAATTGACTTGAATACGCAAGAGGGAGATTTGGTGTAAAGCTAAACCCCACTCAATTATGAGGCCTTTGCACTTTCTCCGCCCACACGCGAGGAATGTTGAAAAAAACAAGCGCTCAGTGCGAACGACTGCAATATTTCACGCAGAGTGGATTAAAAGTCATGACGAAGATGGTGAAATATAATGAATTTTCGATTGAGAAAGTGAGACACATAATATTGAAATATTTCATATGGTGCGATGAGGACAAACCAAACAAGTGGGAGCGCGCATGTTGCGAAAGGAAGTAAACAAAGTGATAAAGGAAGTATAAAGATTTCATGGTTCACATTCCACTTATAAACTTTTATTGCGTACTTCCACCAAACCTCATATGAAAACCCTCCTCCGGAGCTGAATAACAATTGTTAAATTCAGGCGAGTCGAATTCCCGATGTAAAATCATGTCTTATGACATTTTGCAATGCCAAATTATATTATTCAATATACCCGTGGAATTTCAGTCATTAATGCTCTCGCTTGCGGCACACGCTTTAACTCCACGTTTGCACACTCAGTCCGATTAATTGGTAAACTGTTCCACACGGATTTGAGCTGTTGATTATGCAAATTAAATCTGTTAATTAGAATATTTGATTTTTAGTGTAATTTATTGCAAAAATAAAGTAGTCTGAGAGTCGAGAACTGCACTGAACTTTTCTGGAATGACTTTGAAGTTCAGTTGTGACCCAGTTTCACCCGAAGATGTTAAACAAATCCGCGATTCCAATAAATGTGAGTGTTTCTGTCTATCGCAAAGGTGCAATTCCAATAAGTCGTTCTAACAATATTGAAGTTGCAGCAAAAGTACTTCGGAACATCTTTGCGATAGTTTTATGGACAACAAATTTAAAAAAACGTGTATTCTTAGGAAGACTCGAGGAGTGAAAGTTGTCTGGGTATGAGTTGTGGTTTTAGAAAACTTACAAGACACAAAGCATTATTTTGAACGATTCAAGTGGTGAAATTGATTCAAGCAGAAGCATAAATTTTCAGCAAGTCTTCGGATTGAGTGTGCAGCTCGTCAGGAGTGCTTTGTCGTTTATTTTTGGAGCCTGATGGATTCCCCTCGAGCTGATGTTCCTCCCCAGAACACTCCATCCGCCTATTTTGTGTTCTTTATTCTTTCTCGCCGAAAAGCCATACAGTACAAAATTGTCGCAAAGATATTAATTACTCCAGGCATTGTATTTCTGTGGTGACGACAGCCCCAGCCATTTACTTGTTCACCCTGCGCGTGAATATAATAGTAGTAATTTTTGACGGGGGCTGAACATGGTGTTGGTGGATTTAACATCGCAGCGAGATGACGGTGAAATGTGGGAAAAAATATTTATGGCGCTGAGCAAATGCGAACATTAGAAATGGGCAAAAAAAGCTATTTTTGTCAACAGAAAAACAACAAACGATATAATAGGGACTACATACATATACACAATAAAACCTTCTACTTAATAATGCCTGTGTCCCATATTTTGCGTTGAGTGTTCAAATGGGGCGGCTTTTGGATGGGGCGGGCAATAGACCACCGCCAACCAAAGCCGGATTGTGTGGTTCAAACTGATTTTATGATAAACTCCTGTTGACTGAATAAATTAAGTACAGCGCGTACCGACGCAATAATTTACTGGCATAGTGACGACGCCACTGCCGAGTTAATGCCATGTTTGTCTAATTTCCTCGCCTTTATTCATCCATGTTCATGTGTGTAGGCTTCGGTATCGCAAAAGTGTAAATAGTAAATCACAAACATACATATTTACGTATAAATTTCCTCCCCATTCGCCCGCCCTGAGGCCCGTTCAGCGAACTTGCGGCACTTGCAATCCGCCCTGGCGATGGTGTCTTCAGCCAAGTCTGCAGTGACTCTGGTGTTCCTGAGACTGCCTCAACTAGGTCAGCCTGGGCAATTTATGCTACGTACATGCTGAGGAATCCATTTGCTCGTCATGGCGGGCAAAATTAGGAATGAAATTGGCGGAGAACGCGAAAAAAGCCAGTCCAATTATGCAATTGAATTGATATTACCCCGCACACGCCCTTGTGTGTATCTCTGCTGCAGGCGCATTGCATTACGACTGTTGGGGGCTTTTTTCCAGACACGGCCAACCTCGGCGAATGTAGACAACAGCGAAATTGAAATTGAAGGCAACCATGTGGAATATTAACATGAAATCAATACAATTTGGTAGCGAGAGGAAAAAGTCTGCACAGCGTTACTTCTTGCCATTCGCCTGTGATACCTTTCTTTGTGGTGCATGCAATTGAGAGGAATTTTTCAAACTTAATTCCAACCATTTTCAGCGAGCAACATTTTTGCATTTGTGCAGACAGTGAGCTTTCTCAGAGATTTGCTGAAATGAAGATTTCTACCAATTTGCAGAAGCCCCTGTACAAGCAACAGCGCTGATGCACCTGAGGAAATTCACCCTCTTTGCTCCATTGAGCGGTTAATATTGCATAGCGTTCAGTTGGGGATGCGAAAGAGAAAGAGAAATAACCATATATCAAGTCTGCTGATAAGTCGTGACGTGTTTCACTCATTGTCTGAATAGCCGCAGAAAGTGATTGACGTGTAAGAAATGTAGCATCCTTAGAGTGCGATCCCGTAGAATGTGCATAAACAATTTCAATAATAAACTTAACGGCCTCTAAAGCGGCCTCTAAAGCGAGAAGATCGCAAAGATAAGACACGTGACAAGACTCAAGGTGACAAAGAACTGCTCTGTGCTTTCAAATTGCGTAATTTATTATCAAAAATTCATTGATTGTTCGCTTCAAGATCACATTTGTGGAAGCCAAAAAAATAATTTTCTTTTCAAAATCATCAGATTTTCACTCTATTCATCACATAAATGTGAGAATTTTAATTAATTTTCATGCAATTGACTGAATCTCGAGTTTCCTAGAACAAGTGCCTTGTGGAATTTTCCTGGAAAATACTATAAACTTCTGCGCTGACCTAGTGAATATTTCCAGAGACTTCCTCTAGAGATCTATGGGTGGGAATATTGTACAATTCTCGCACAATATGAAAATCAATTTTCCTTTATTGCTAGGCGAACAAATATTCATGGAATGTTTATTGTGAATCGAAGAGGCGAAAGGAATTTTTCTTCTACCATTTCGCCCATTGTATTAACCCAGTCGCCGGGCAGCAGCGGCGGAGGTGCGGGCATTAAGGAATTATGATGAAACACCTGTCTGCATATAAGGTGGTGCGAACGGCACATGAAAGAGTAATCGAATTCATGTGCACCGTCATTGAATATCTCTGACCACGACATGAGTGGTGATGGTTATTAATCAAACTCATCTTCCAGCCCGGTGAGACGTGCTCTGTCAGGGTGTCGCTCCTTCATCCCCCACAAGAGACGAGAAGCGGGCGTGGTGGGGAAAAGGGTGGAAATTTAGAGTGTAGATTAGACTTATCTCAGTTGACTTTTTATCGTTTCTACGTTTTTCAGGCTGGGGTGTGCGCTCTCCACCCACATATACACACACTTGTAATCCAAATAATAGCTCGGAAGAGGAAAAGGCTGTACCTTACAAAATTGCAAAGTGACAGAGATGTGGCAAGATATGCCTCTGGTGGAGAGCGGGGCGTGTTAGTGAAGGAAGATCACAGCCTCTGAGACCGAAAAGTATTAAAGTGTATGTGGAAAAACATGAAACATCTCTAGAACGTTGTCACGTGCCACGTGCAAATTTATTTCACTGTCTTCAAGGAAATTATTTGAATGAGCTGAATTGGAACGTGTTCCCTTGGTGCCATTTCGCCATTACACCAGATGGATGTGGGGGACACGATTAAAATGAATAATTCACCTCATACTTCACAATCAACATCGTCCATTTTGCTTCCATAAAGGGTTTAATATACAAACACAGGCATTCGCAAGGCGAATGCCTGTGAATTCCTCCGGCAGAAGCATCTAATTCATTTTCTCTTATTAAATTAAGTGGTCAGCCGCTCTTCCTCTCCTCCATCCGCCAGTAAAAGGGCACGCAATTCACTCGAATGTGACTCCGGTGCGCTGCTGAAGAGTGTACATATCCTCGATGAGGCCCCGAAGCTCCCGGTTGACAATCTCGCCACCGAGTGCCAGCATTTCCGCCATGAATCCCTCGAACTCCTCATTGTCCGGACTGAACTTCAGCATGTTGGCCACGGGATCGTCGAGGGGACAGTGCAGAATTGGAATGAAAGACGCCGCGACGCTGTAGCCAAATGGGAGGTACTTTGCATACTCCTCGAGGAAGCTGCTATGGCTGCAAGAAGGGAAGCAAAGCGTTTGAAAAATAACTCCCAACATCCCATGAGATTGCATCCCATAAAAAATGGTATTGACGGTGGCTGTTGCCACCAGGCATGGATATAATCTCGCATGTGAAGAGACAAAGCTCGGAGAGACATAATTTTTTCTTATAAAAAGCTCTCACCCAAGACCCTGCATATTTAAATGGGCAGGATGGGGGAGTGGAAGAGTAAAAGTTGGAGCTAAAGTGACGCCAAACATTTATCACTTTGGTGTGTGTGAGCGAGCGCGCTTTTTTTCCATTGCAGAAATTTTCTTAATGCGACAAACCTGTAATGGCTTGGTAATTCATCTTCATTTTTGTTCCATTTTTCACAGAGTGCTTTCACTAATTCAGTGTGATAAGACCGGAAGATGTCATCAAAGTGGGGCTTTCGCACATCCACTCCCGTGGAATTGGCCATGAATGTGGCCAAATCAACCATCGGTGATGAATATCTCAGTGTTTGGAAGTCAAACATCATGGCGTCGAGGCAGATAGTGCCATCAGCTCGTGTCTGCGATTGGGGGAGAAAACAATGATTTCCTGTTTATCTATGCCTAATAGCTAAATAATGGCCGCCCTCACCGTGCGCCTGAAGGCGATGTTATTGCTCAAGAAGTCCCCGTGGCAGAGCACCGCCAGCGGCTCTTGGGATCCATTCAGCCTGTGCTGCACCTTCATCGGGTTCGCCAAGTACGCCTCCAAGTCCATCAGAAAGTGCTCAGGAATGCCATTGCGTGCCTCCCTACAAATGTTAATTCCATTCATTATCGCAAAGCGATTGCCAACAACCAAAATAATTGGCACTACCCAGACTCCCTAATGGAATTAGTCCCTCTCCTTATTGATTTTGTCATCATTATGTCCCAAGCATCGCTGCCGCTGCTGTCTGCGTGGAAGCTTGTTAACTTGAGTTGTTTTCGAATCTCACTGAATAATTCAGGATTTGTCTCCTTGATGCCGTACGAGTAGCCATGAAATTTCCCAAGTAGTTTAACTATTTTGTGGTGAAAACAATGCAATAAATACATTTCAGGAATCTTTTCGCCATCTCACCCGATGCCAAAATATTTTCCAGCGATAAGTTTGTCACTGGTTTCGCCACACTCCAGCCATCAGATGTGAAATCACTGAGCACTATTATCTCCTCCTGCGGCGTCTGGCTGCTGTAGTAATACCTGCAAAGGTAATGGTAATTGTTATGATGTGGAAAATAGAATAGAATTAAATAAATTATCATATATAATGGCAAAACAAAAAAGTTTTTATCGCATTCAGTCGAAAGAAAAGCTTCTCGAACACGTGCTTCTCGCGTCCATTCTTTTATGTTTCATATAATGTAAGACTTTGTCGAAATTCATGAGAAATATGTATAAAGTTTTACATCTATTATTTAGTTATAGCTATGAAATAATTTTTCTTCCATCAAAATGATAATAATTGTATAATTAAATCTATGCTAAGTAGATAAAACTCAACGCATAAGTTTTCCTTGTCATGGTTTTAATTTGTTAGCAATACATTCAGGCAAAGCCACTGAAATGTTATGAGAGCATGGTTTCAAATTCTCTCCAGTCTAACTACATTTGATCCATATGGGCAAAACCAGGAGCGGAACAATTATATTTTGCAGCTGACCTCAAAAAGCTCAGCTTTCCCATAGGTTTACGTTAAACAATGCGGCTGCTTCTCAATGCGCGTTTCAAACATGCGGGAAACGGAAAAAACGGCAAACTTTGTATCTAACCCATAATTCTCCCGGTACACATCACACTCTATAAGCCGTGATGTGTTGATCCGGCTTAGCGTACACCAAACAAGCATTATAATTTCGCATGCAATATACGCCGTACCTGGGGTAAAAAATGTCAAGATCCTTGAGCAGTGGGAGAACGACAGTGTACGTGATGAATTCATTCTCGAATAAGTCCGCATAATTTCCGCCCTGGTAGAATTCCAGCGGGATTTTTGGCGGTGTGAGCTGTCGATGATGATGGACTTAGTTTAGGGCTAATCAGATGGATGCATAAAATACTTTCGCTTCCTTACTTACCTTTATGACGAGATCCGCTCGCTCAGTTCGGCCCGATTTGGCACTAAACAGCTCAACTTTGGCACGATAGCACAGTGTTCTCATGTAAGTGCCATCCTCACCAAGTTTACTGGCCTCGCATGACTTTATTGCAGCATCACTATAAGATGAGAGCTTGCCATCAGTCAGAAGTTTTGGCAGCAATTCGCACTTGATGAACTCTGCGGAATCCATTTCACACTTTATCAAAATAGACACGATCTGAGAAGTAGTCGGACGATCTTGCGAAATTCTGCTCGTGCACTGGACGTTGAGTCAATGATTACTTGCCACCGGACACGCTATAATCGAAATACAAACTCACAGCGTTGTGTGGCACGAGGGGCGCACAATTACGAAGCGCTTTGCTCGTCTTCGTGGGTGTGAAAAGGCCCGCATATGGCATGAGATGTATAAAAATCAAATCACATGAATGGCCCAACAATCCACCCACACCGCCACACGATTGTGTCCAGATAATGGCTCTGTTAGGTGCCTCCACACCTCCAGCCAACCATATATTTACATCTTGTCGTGACGTCTCATTGATAAGTCGGGCAAAAAAGCACAATTCACACTGACACTGCAAATTTGTCGGATCACCCGTTTGGGCCACAATGAGGTGTTTCCACCTGTTTAATCAACCAAAGCGTTCCTGCAAAAAAGAGCTTCGTGTGAAATTTTCAAGGCTGCCACGGACTGTTCATAATTCTGATTTACTCACTCATTCACATTCTCCGTTCTTTGTGCGGCTGAAGGCAGAGCTTTGCCGAGCGCTTTCAAAGGCACCACGTATCATTTTGCACAGCCACCAGATGCGTGGGGATTTCAATTGAGGAGCTTTGCGCTTGCAAGCTCCACTTTGAAGTGATTCTGTGTGGAAATATACTCATTTCGAGATTTCTAATTAATATTGCATGGCTTGCTCGGGTCAGGGAGGTTGAGAAGATAAGGAAAAGCACAAGAAACACAAGAAATCATATCGGGAGTGTGAGAGAACGGGACAGAATATTAGTCTTCATTAATTTTCATGACAACATTAAATTCTCAATTTAGAAAAATGGCAAATTACAATGTCTTTAAATTATATAACGTTGCCTGAAACATTATTCTTGACCAAAGTGAGACATCAATTATGTCGGGTGCATATTTAATCTGCCAGAAAAAGACTTCCTCAGAGTGCTTAAATCTTCTTTTATTGCAGCCAAAGCTTATACAGAGTTTAAAGAACAATGCAAACACTTAAATGCTGCTACAAAAATTTCAATTTATTGCACAATTAGATTATAAGGGCTTAAAGTAGTATTGCGCAGTGACTTTACTTTAGCGCCAAAAATATTTATGCGTGTAAGAAACCGACACATAATATGTGTTAAAAATAATTTGGGGATTATCAAGAATTTACAAATATTTGGTAAATTAAATTACCAAAGCGTAATATTCTTTTTATAGGAATGTGTACAGAATGGCACAAAAAGAGAAAGCCAGCTTTACAACATTGACAAACATCATAAGATTTATGTCGTACATTTCAGCGGCTTTGAATCCAAATGGTCTCTGAGACACTATCATCATCATCTTGAGCATCTTCTGACTGTCCTTGGAGAATTCATACCACTTCGTCAAGTACAATTCCGTGAAGATAATCTCAGTTTTGCTGAAGATCATCTGACCAAACACACAAAGAATGCCGAATTGAAAATACATTGCAGATGTCAACACATAGACAAAAAGAAAATTGTCCCATTGCTGAATCATGTAGAAAGTGAGGAAGAAGAAGATCGGGTTGGTTACCAAGTGAATGACAAAAACGTAGTAGAGCAAGTTGCTGAAGAGTCGAAGATTTCGGATGATCTTCAGATGGTAGAAGTGAATGTAAAGCAGCAAATCCTTTTCCTTCTGCAACGTTGAAGAGTCATCCAAGCTTCTGATGCAATCCAGAAGAATGTCGAGCGATGAAATGAAGTACAACGCGATGTAGATTATAAAGCAGTCAAAGATTAGAAGCAATCCTCCAGATATTGTTGAAAAGATGGCTTGAACAAATCTTGAAGCTGGAAAATAGTAATCAAGTGCAGATATTCCAGGAATAACATATATTGGCGTGTTATTCAAGAAAAAATATGCACTGTAAGTTGTTTCAGCTGTCCAATACACGAGGAAAATCGTTCTGAAAAATGAATCAAAGTGAATTTATAAATATTAGGAATACTATAATTGCAGATCTCAATTCAAACCTGATCATAATATGTGTAAATTTTAATGTCTTCTTCAGATGAAGTTCAGTGAATCGTTTCACAATCTCGCAGTTTGTAACTACATGAAGAGAACGGATCCAATCAGAAATTTCACTCAAATCGTCGTTGTGGAAAAGAAAAGCGAAAATTTTGCTCAAAAGTTGAAATTTTATAAAGAAAGCAATACAACACGAAAAGAGAACCCAAAGGTTTATGTTGGGTTCCCGCATGGCCATTAAATTAGTGAAGGCAGAAAACAAGATGAATCCGCATAAGATAAACTTTGAATTTCTCTGCACTTTATCGAACTTCACGAATGATAGCTGGAGAAATCCCCTCAACTTGTTGAAAAAACCCTCCAAAGCGAGGAAATCCTCAAAACAATCAACTTGACCACTCATATTGGAAGTCTTTGCGTAACTGAATTGAAATAACTTATTTCTTCAGAGCTTCGATAGGAAAATTCATTAAAAAAAACTGAGTACTCGCGAGAAAACTAGAACGCGAGTGTGTAATATTTAATAACATAATTACTGTTCTGGATTAGACGGAAAAAATCTGCAATATTTTAATATTCTTGAGTAATTATCTACAATTTGTGTCTTTTTAACATAATTACGTCAACATTTTGAAGGAAATGAGAAACTATGAGAAGAAGCATGAATTCCAGTTCCTAAATATTGAAGGAGGACTTCATTTGTGATTTAAGAATATTCATTAAATTTAGACAGCAGACACCATTGAGTTTATTTTAAACAAAGTGATTCATGTGGGTCAGCATCGATGTTTCCTTCGTCAATGTATGAACTGTGAGTGGACGGGATGATAGGTGATCCCTTGTGGCTGCTGATGTGTGAAGAAGTGAACTTTTTGAGTGCTTTTTATCGAACAGCCAAAATGGCTTGACATTTTATTATATCCTTTATGGCTGGACGTTCTCCATCCGGGCAAGTTGCAATTTTTCACAGCTATATTGCAAAACCGTGAGCACACAAAGTAGTGTGTTCAACTTTGATATGCAGATAATTAATCCTGTGGGCATTACCGCATTGCCTCTCTGAATCCGATTAGTTGGACATGTTTGAACTTTCATTGGAATTGTAATGGGTGATCTTCCGATCAAATAGAACGTGCCTTTTATTTCATTGGCAATTTGTTTGCTTTATCCAGAAGGACCCATGTACGGCTATACGACATATTTCGTAGAGAGAAGTTGCTTTCTTCGTCTCCTATTTGCCACCCTCGAATCGTGTGTGTGTGGCAGAAACAAGGGACGCACTTGGGGAGAGTAAATTGAATGGTCTATGGCAATTATGCTGCTGCTGGCGAAGCGATTCGCCGTGGTGAGATACTTCAGCTCTGGCTGTCTGCACGGATATATCTATACTTCTTACGCTGTGGCTATGAATAGAGACTTGGGTCAGATTTATCTGGTCGGAATATTTTATTTACTGAACTCTCCTGTGGCTACCGATTAAAATATCAATGTGTTGGTGCAAAATTCCATCCATTTCCCCATTCATATTTTTATTCAATTTCCATCCAGGGGGAAAAGCTTCCTAATCGAAAATTGAAACGTGCGAAGGGACTTTGCGGTGAGATATTTTATGGTGTTTGAAATTGTGGAAATGCTCGAATATTGAAAGGAGGGACTCTGAGGATCACAATGTGAATCCCAGGTATTTTATATTGCAGTCACATTTATCCTATCGTCTCCTTTGTTACCTGATCCATTCGCCCACGTACCCCTGATTAAATTATTATATATGCAATATTGTAATTGCCAGCAATATGACGGTCTCTGCAATTCATCGCCTTTGCTGTGGGGCGTTTAATTAATTTCTCATGGCTGCTACGTGAGACTTTCCGAGGCAAGTGCGCATACATAGCGAGGTACAGCGTAGTAACGCTTTGAGTTTTTCAATTATGTAGCGATTATTTAGTAAGTCTCTTCCTGGAAGGTGGCTGCAAAATGTGAAAAAAATCTCCTCTTCATCCAATAATTCGCTTTCTCTCCGGCAAATCACATTTAATATTCCATGAGTATTGTGTCCTGAATAATCTTCCCTCGCACAGTGTTAAGACACAACACCCACGGTTTGAGCGCGAGAAAGTTGTTCGTTTTCCTGGGCGCATGAAGAAACTTTTAAATGTGGCTTTAATTGCCTTCCATCTGAAGCCATGGTGAGCGAAAAAGTTTCATTGTCCTAGCCAAAAGCGACTAAAACAAACTTTGCATTTGGCATTTCTGATCTTTGTGCTTTTATTCGATGCCCTCCCCATATTCATTTACTTAATCTCCTTTATACATATTTGCAAATGTATAGACGAAACGAGAAAAGCCAATGATGAAAAATATGTCTGTTTTCGTTTCTTTGCTATGAATTTTCTGTGTATCGTACATTTTTTTTTGTCTATTTGGCTTCTCATTGTGTGCATTTTGGCTCCTGTCGCTGCAGTTTCTGTAATCCAGAGTGGCAATCAAATGAATTTAATAGTGAAAACACAAGTGTTACGCTGCGCTCTGGCCCCAGAATGGCTGGCGTGTAAAGTACACGCATTCAGTGATTCACTGCTGGCCACTGTAGGCAAAATATTACGCAAGTAAACGGCAATAAAACACAAGTTTGCACATATAATGTCCAATACATCGATGTGGCAATGGGAATTTATGGGGCAAAAGTGATTTATTCATTTATGAGAGGATAAAGTACACACTCCTCACTTCTATTAAAGTTCTGTCTCCCTCACCAGCGCAGCCCGTGCGAAGGACCACCCCTGAGGGGCTTCAACTTTGAATGATCTACAGTACCTCTCATGCAATATTGAATCAATTATGTTTGCGGCTTCACGAAAACCATACTCATTTGTCGGTAGTTTAACTTCAAGAGTTGTTGATTGATAATTAAGTAAACTCCAGGAACACACTTAACTAATGTTGCCGTTAATTCAGCTTGGGTAAGCAGTTTCCTCTAATAGTTCGACACAGTCTCCGCCTCAAATGGCCCATCATTGTGAAATTTCTCTAAACTTTCCCTCACCCCCAGAAGTACGCTCTCTTTTCGGGGGAGAATTTGGCTAATTTTTCCCATGTATGTGGAGACAAAGAGGGACAGAGTTTATAATGTTGAGCGCGGAACTGTTATGTATGGAATAGACGTGAGATCCGATAAATTTTCGTTGGCGCTCTTTGACTTTCGTGAAAGCTTTTGGCAGAGACGACATGGGTTGCCACATATGGGAAAGTCTTTTTGGGGCCACCAGAAGGAATTATGGAGTACTATGTGTGTATTTCAATTTTGCAACGCTCAAATAATCTCATTACATCTAGAATTGGTAATAATGCTAGTCTAGTAACATCAGTTTCCCGTCAGTTATACAGTTTAAAACCAGACAATATTGGAACATACATATATAGGTGCAATTTGGAAAGAGGATAATAGCAGCGCAAAAAGTTTTCCCCGTTTTCCCTGATATTAACTACTCCGCATAAATACAGTTTTCCGTGAAATTCCCAATTTCGTAATGCAACACAGAATAATTCTTCGAACTTTGGCTCTTCATGGTAATTTCGGATAATAAACATTCTTCAGCAGTTGTGAAGCTGCTGAATTTCACCACTTCTCTGGCGCGCAGTTTTCGGCTCTCAGTTCTAATGCGAGGAAAATATATTAGCGACTGATATAAACGAAATCGACCCAGTAAATATATAAATATATAATCCAAAATGTATTGTAATTGAACACGATACTATGTGCTGGCGTTGATTTAATGTGTCGGTTGGTTGTTGCCAAGCCACACCACGAACTAGGGACGATTCGCTCAACATTCCCGGACCATTAGAATGTGAGGTGATGGTGACCAAGAGATGGTCTGTGTTTCGCAATTATGTCACGTTTGGTCGTTCCATAAAAAAGTAGTATTATTATCACTTCTGCCAGCTGCGAGAGTCGTCCAATGTATTGAATTATGGCACTTTCGGGGTGGATTAATAAAATTTTTCATTTTCAAATGACCCATGGCAAAAATTCACACAACGCTGACGATAATCCGAGTGGAGTTTACTTCAGTAATTCATTTATGGCGGCCCTAATTGATTTTTGCAGAGGTCCATCAATGTTTCCTGCACTTTCTGACACAATGAATAATCGTAGGTGTCATTGGAGGTATACTTGAAATGACCAACATGGTAGCATAATTGCATCGCACATGAATGTTCGCCCCCTTTGTTATTTTCCCATATACAACGTAATTTGCAGCTTGTCAACATGCAGCTAAATTCACTTCTGCCAAGCGCAAAATGCTAAATTTGCAACACATGTTATCCCATTTGCATTCCTCACTGACCATCTTCCCGAAAACCTTTTGCCTGCGTCCCATGCACGCCAGATCAATTTTGAATGAAAAGTCGTCTCCATTCAGGACGTGCACACCAGCAAAAGGATTAGGCGTGAAGTTTCCCGAAAGAAGCGGAGAACTGCTTTTTTTTTCTTCAAACTTCATGGAGCGTGAAAAAGGTTGAGACGCAAAACTCATAAAATAGAATTAAACGATGCGGTATTATTTATAAGAATTGCCTATAATATTTACCACATCAGTGAGCACATCATCTGAAAGGAGAATTAATAAATAAAATAGGCCTCCGCGAAAGAGTGAGGGTGGATTTATATAACATTTCTGCCTGGATATGGAAAATATGTTGCTCCCTTTTGTTTATACTCAGCCGCGCTTTTGGCGAACAACTTCATCGTGAAAGTCCGCGTGCAGGTGTTGGATGGGAAAACCACAATTCATGGAATTAAAAACACAACAATTTC